AAAGAAAGGGTTTGTGTACCTTGTCTGGGAGGAGAGGATCTCACAGGATTCCTGTTACTCTCCCTGATGTATCACTGGGCCATGAAATTCAAAGAAGACGGCAGACAAAGCCAAGTTGCACCTACCTCTGATCTTAGGTTTATTCAGAAGCAAGTAAGTGTTTGAAATTGAACAAATATTGCAGAGGAGGGGGAATGTTATTCACTTAACACCCTGAAAACCCATTCCAAAAATCCTGGTATTCTTGGGGAAGGCTGGACCTCCTGCTCTCAGATTGCAGCTGACATCTAATACAAGACATTGCACAAGGACACTTTGCACGCTGTGAGAAATCAGAGCTGATCCAGTTTACTCCTGCGCAGGTGAAACGCTCGGGCATTTTAACAAACACCCCGAGATTTGTTTGTTTACCTGCCTAACCCACATGCCGTTCATTCCTCCTGGCTGGGAGCTCCTTGGTGGGTCTTTCAAAAACTTAAATTCCCCTGTTATTCCCTTCCCTTGCTGGGGAGAGCTGAGTTTGGAAAGAAAGTTTCTAACTCTGGCCAGAAGGCTGGTAATGAACAGGGCAGCCTGTAATTGTATCAGCCTGAAAACACTCACAAAACCAGGAACGTGGCCTGGGTGCCCAGTCTGAGCAGAGATATCAAATAATATTAAAAGTACAAGCCTAACTTCAGAGGGCTTGTTCTGCTGTGGCACTTCAGCACCTCTGAAAAGCCAGACAAAACCCGCTCAGTTCATGTCAAAGGATGGTGTTGGAAATGTCAGCAAAGCTGGGGATAAAGCATTGAAATCGCGTTTTTTTGAGACAATGATGGCAGGCAGTGCTGTGTGCATTACCACCAATTCCCTGCTTCTCTTCCCTCAGAAGAAAATGAGGGAAGCTGCTTCTCCTGCCTCATCTCTCAGCGATGCTGTGCCTGCATCCTCTGCAGCTGGACCGAAGCAGCACCAGGCCAGGCAGTTCCCTGGGTGGTGCCTGGGGCTGCTGAAGGATTCTTCTCCGTCCTTCTCCCACTGCTCAGTCTCTCTTTGGTGCCTCTGCCTTGCTGGCTGCTGCGTGGGTAGGGTTTGAACCCCAGTTCTGCCTCCAGTGAGCACATTAATTTGGATATTTCTTCTCTCTCCAGGTGATGATTGTTACACAGTGAACACAAACTCATGGCAGAACTTCTCTCAGGTTTGACCGAGGTGCTCAGCAGCTTTAAAAAGGAAAATAGACTGAGGGAAAACACAACGTTTATTTTGGTATACAGGAGAAAAAAAAAATCCCTCCATTATCATAGTTACAACGGTATAAAAGGTGTTTAAGGAGGAGTCTCCTGGGTTTGGACTGGGACAGAGCCTAGTCTGGAGGAGGCACTGCCCTTGCCAACACTGGGTTTAACACCCTTAAGAGCTGCTGAATTTGAATGTCTGCGTCTCCGCACTCAATCTTGATTAACTGGCCCAACCATGAATGTTAATGACCCTGATTTACATTGCCTGCAGAGCTACGGGCAACTTCATATCAGCAACCTCGCAGCTCCCCGAACGTGTTGCAGCGGGGAGCTCCAGGTGCCTGCCAGGCGCTGGAGCTGAGCCTGGCAGCTGCAGCAGGAGCAGGGCAGGAGCACCTCGGCCAAGCGTGCCCCAAAAACCTTTCCCTTCCTCGGCTCTCCATGCTGGAGATAACACACAGGTTACCTCCATGATGGAGGTAACACACAGGAAAGGACGTTTTTAGTTACTTTTGGATTCTGAACAAATAGAAGACTTCCCATTGAAACCTGCGTGTTCCTCCCAGCAACAACCAGAGCTGCTCGGAGGAGACGAGGCGGGATTGAAGGCAGCGCCTTCCCCTCGCTGCGAGCTAGGAAGCGAGCACGGGGAGATGAACGCAATATATTGTATATTCAGCAAACAGCCCCATCAGGTTTTCCCGTGGATGTAACCATTTGCAGCGCCATTCCAGAGGAGGAATTTCCAGGGCTGGCAGCGGTGGCTTTCTGGAGGCAGGAGCTCCACGTGCTGCCGGGGCAGGGCGTTGAAAAGCTCCGCTATCACCGCCAGCCGCTCCTGGAAATTCGCCTGCCAGGGACGCTGCCGCAGCTCTGTTGGTGGTAGGGGAGATTGTTCCTCTGGACTTTTCTTAAAAAAATAAATCAAATGTCAAGCCCGAAAAAGGAAGCCTGCTACTTTTCAAATCCAGGAGCTGTAATCATGCTAATCCATATGATCGTGCTAAAGCCAAGCAAAATGCCTTTTGCATATGATGTAATCAGCCAGGGTAGCCTATTTATAACCAGCACTGGCTGGGAGCACCTTCCCAGAAAAATACAATCAGGACAGCTTTCCCTTGGTCACATTCTTCCTCTTCCTCCCTGCATTTTTCACTTTCTTTGTGCTCTTTTGCCTATTTGTGCTGTCTTCCCAGCCTTAAATACAACACCTTTTTAATTTTTTATTTTAAACTAATGCTTGCCATGCACTCTATTTTATCCGTGTTTCAGAGCCGTGCTGAGTGAAATCCCAGTCCTGTGAAATCAATACCAAAACTTCTATTGATTTCATATAATATATTCCTTTAAATTCAGTACAAATGCTCCGCAGGAGTTGTCTGTTTTAAGTATGGATCTACTGTACAGGGCTGTCAGTCTCAGCTGGATACATAAACCAGCATGGTTTAATAAATTCATTGGTGTGGCTTGGGAGCTTTCCGTGTAATAACTGAAAATCTGCAGGTCACACTGAGCATATCAAGTGTAAAAGGAGAGGATTCATCAATGTGAATATCTATCTGTGGATCGATTGGTATCAATCTTGTTTAACAGTCTGTTTCCTCGGGACTCACTTTGGGAACAAAGAGCATTTCAAACTGTTGGTTAAACAAACAAATATAGAGAAGCTCTTTGGGCAACTTGGGGGTGGAGTAAACGCCAGACAAAAATGGTCAGTGATTTCAAATACCTGTTCATCTCTCCCATCTCATATTAGTAAGTTCAGAGTTTCTCTTGATGTCATCAAGTGCATCAAGAATGGGCCTTTCAAACCATTTTTTGCTTACAGAAGAAAGTGGCCTGGAAACCAACATTTGTCCCCTGACCTCCATGTTCAGACATTGTCCAAGGAGGAGGGTGGCACCTTCTGCTCTGCAAGATTTGTGTTATCCTTAGCTAAATAGAACCCCCTTATGAGACACTATAAAAACAAAACCAAGCCCCGGGAGGATACAGAACTAATTAGATCAGGATGCGCTGCTTACCTCGATCTACTATACTAAGATATTTTATGCCTGTCCCATGCAGGTCCCCCCTCATCAAGCACCACCAAAATAAAAATAATCCTGACCAGTATTTGGCATGACTGTGCACAAGCACGAATTTTGGTACTGAGCAGATGTTGTACAGCCCCTGGGGGTTTTGCAGGGTAAAAGTGCCAGCAGAGAACCAGGTGAAACTTGGGGTTGTGCAATGTCCTGTGGCAGTCCTGTGGCTGCCTGAGGTGCCATCGCTTCCTCCCTCCCGCTGGCGAGTCATGTTTGGGTTTTCCACTCTGCACCACACTCCTGCACCACCCCATCAGTCAGATTTGGGTTTTCCACTCTGCACCACCTTCCTGCACCACCCCATCACCTGGGGTGGATGCTGCTCACACAGCAGCTCTGCAGCTGGAACCCTCGCTGCACAGGCAGGAAACTGAGGCACGGACCCTGCTCGATTGCTTGCTGATGAATGCAATGGGAAGTGCAAACCGAGCGTGCCTTCAGCTGGACCTGATTCTCGTGGACCCCTCTCTCATCTCCTCCTCCTCCACATCATCATCATCATCATCATCATCAAATCAATCTCTCCCCAGTCTTTTCCAGCAAACCATTTCATTTTTCACAGATAGACTTGGGGCGTGTGTGTTGTTCTACATTAAATCAAAAAGTAATTGTGTGTCCCACAGAGATTTTGCAATGTTTGGAGCATTTGCAGGTTTTGGAGTTGTTTGGGGCATTTGCAGTTTTTGGAGTTGTTTGGAGTGTTTGCAGTTTTTGGAGGACTTTGGGGCATTTGCAGTTTTTGTGAGTTGTTTGCAGTTTTTGGAGGTGTGCAGTCCAGATCTCCGCACATTCAAGGATGCTCACATTTTCACTTTTGCAGGACCAGTCTGGCTTTGGGGTCGGAGGGGTTGGGGTGACTCTGCTGTGCCACTCGGGGTTTTACAGCACAGTTCAGTGGGAGGCTCAGCTGAGCCGGGTCCTGCAGTCACCTGCAGCCACTCGGACTGTCCCCAATGTGCCACCCAGCACCGGGGGCCACCCGGCCGGGGCTGTGGGGAAGATTTCCACGTGGCTCACGTTCCCATGGACCCCAACAGCCGAAAAGGGGAGTAAAGATGAAAATTATTCCAGCCTGTATTAACGCAGCCAGCTTAGTGTGGGAAAACACTCTCAAAGCGCTTCTGCTTCAACTTTTTCACACGAGCCTTCACGTGCCTCACGTTTTACTCGCTGTTAAAAATACCACTGGCTCAGCTTCGCCCGATTCCCAGAAAGCGAGACTTTAAAGAGTCCTCAAACAGCTGAAGCAAACCCGCCTAATTACGCTGTCTGCATCCGCTTTTAAAGCCCCTCCGGCCGGCCGCCCCGCCGCGGGACCCCGCGCATCTCTCGGGGCGCGTCCCCGGCCACCTTCTCGGGCCACAAAGGGAAGAAGGAGCATTGTCCCGCTTGCCACAGGGGGGGAGGGGGAAAACTCGTTCCAGCACCTAGCAAAGGCGCAGGTGAGACAGCAGAGGCAGCGTCCCATGCGGGCGGAGAGCCGCGCTGTTTGTTTAGCGGGGCGGCCGCGGCCCCGCGGGGCTCTCGCCTTTGTCGCCCGCCGGGGCGGGCCGGGCGCGGGGACTACATGGCCCAGCGTGCCCCGCTGCGCGGATCAATGGGGCTGATTTGAATAATCTGTGAGCCCTTGGACTCAGGCCAATCAGCCGTCAGGGACCCATGATAAATCGCAATGCATTATTGATAATAATAATTACTCTGACATGCGCATTCCGCCCAAATTTCCCAACTCTAGGAATTTGTTGTGAAGAGGAAAATAATTGCTACTATTGCACGCTCCCGATGCTGGTGCACCATGTCGCGACGGAAGCAGGCGAAGCCCCAGCACATCAACTCCGAGGAGCAGCCCCCAGATGCTGCAAGTGGTGAGCGCAGAGGGGGCGCGGGGCGGCCGCGGCTCGGCTGATGCGCGGAGGCGGCGGGGAGCGAGGGGCGCTTCCCGGGGGGCTTTTTCCACCCTCGTGCTTCGCCCCCGCGCCTTTCCCCCCGCGGGCTCCGCCAGGAGCCGACCCTCGGCTCGCCCCGGCTTTTTTGGGGGGCCCAACTCCCCCGCGGGGCTGAGCGAGGCGCGGGCTCCTCGTTATTTTTGGGGGGGTTCGGCTTTGGGCGGGTGCCCCGCGATGCCCCGCACGCTCCCCCCGCGCCCGCGGAGCCTCCGCCGGGTCCCGCGTGGGGCCGCGGCCGCGCGGGAGGGGAACCCCAAAGCCTCCCCAGGCGGAGGGAGTTGGGGGGATGGGGGTAAGGGGTGGGGGAGCAGGGGGAGAAATTACCGAGAACTTCGGAGGGGTAGGAAATGGCTCGGGCTGGGTTTCCTCGGTGTGCTTAGCACTTTGTCGGGAGTTCGATGAGAATTTTTGTGGGGTTTAAAAAAAAAAAAAAAATAGAAAACGGGGGGAAAAACTTCCACGCTCGGACTATTTTTGTTGGAGATCACAATCGCCCTGGACCTTTTGTAGCTTGACCTCCAGCCATCTTTGATTTCCGACTTCCTAAAATAACTCCGGTGAGCTAATGCGGGGTGTGCGCGAGCGCTTTGTATTTGGGCGGCGTGGGGGACTCGCCACCGCGGAGCGCTCTCCCCATCTTCGGGGAGCTCGCATTTCGGGGCCGCGTTCGGGAAAAGCAGAAATTCTGCCTGAAATCGGCCGGGAGCTGCCGGTGGGGCGGGGGAAGGGACGGGGGCACTCGCCGGTCCCCCGCGGGAGCGGGCCCGGGCTCCCGGAGCAGCATCTTCCCGAGCCGGCTGCGGGACCCGCGGCTCCCGGGCCCGCCGCGATCGCTCCCTCGGTGCTCGGAGCGGAGCTCGGGACGCTCCGCGGTGCCCGTCCCGCTCCCGGCCGGAATGCGGCGGGAGGAAGGCACGGCCCGCCCGGATGGGGAGAGTTTGTTCGGAGTTGTTGCGGTTGTTGTGCCCGAATGTGCCCCCCAAGAACTTTCTTTGGGATGTTTGCTTGCTTTTGGGACTGGTTTTGTTTCCGTGCCTAGAACTGATCGAAACCCACGCACGTTACGGGAGCTGCTTATTCCCAGCCCGCAGGAGGTTCGGGCTCTTTAATTTTTTTTTTTTTTTCCCCTCCTCCCCCTTCTCTTCTTTGAGTCGAAATGTGCAATTGTTGGGTCCGGTTAATGGTGACTTAAGAAACAGCATGCTGGCCAGAAGGCAATAAATCCCATGTTTAATGCATGACTGTTTTCCTTTGTGCATATGGTTAGGTTGGGGGGATGGAGGTGATGTTTCCACATGTAAATCTCTGCCCGCTGCTGGAAAGGCACCTCCGGCCCCGCGCTGAAACAAAAGGGTTAATCACTCCTGATGCGGCGCTGGGGCGGGGGAGTCGTGCGGGAGGGAGGGAGGATCGCTCCACACCGCGCTCTCCGGGGCAATGGCCAGCTGCTTTTTTGTTATTGTTGTTCGGGCTTTTTTTTTTTTTTTTTTTCTCCCCCTCCCGTTCTCAATTTTAACAACCAAACGCGGGATGAAATCCCTCCGGGAGCCCTCGGCGGCCGCCCAGGCCGGCGGATCTGCGGAAGCTGTGGCGCCGCCCGGGGGATTCTCCTGCTGCTCGTGGGGTGCTGTGGATTTGGGGGGTCGGGGCAGGTCCCGCACTGATCCGTGCGGGATCTCCGCTCTCCGAAATGCAACCCGAGGCTGCGGCTCCGACGGCTCGGACCGCCCGCCAATCTCCCAAATAAGTCTTGATATTCCCCGCTCCAGGTGTGCCCGTAAATAATAAGTGATGAAGTTGAATAACAAAGTCGAAATTCCGCAGGGATTTGTCTGGGGCATTAGCGAGGATATACACATACTCGTAATAATAAAATCAAGTCCTTATCTCCTTTTTTGCAAGCATTCCCTTTTTTCGCAGAGCGATTTGGGACCCACCTCTGTGAACAATGCAGCGGGTTAAAGTGTCCCGCGAACCTGGGGATCCATTAACAGGTCAAAAAATCAGCAGGTGGTCACAGGGGAATAATGCTACATACTGGAAATTAGCATTTCCACAAAGGGCTTGAAAATGCCTATTGTGCTGGATTGCTGCCATTAAAAATCGGATTCATTCTTAAAAATACAGTATCAAACTGCAACTTTTTTTTTTTTTTCCTCCTTAGGGTAAAATTAGCGTAGCTTTGCTTCAATTGTATCTCCGATTCGTGTGCCGAGCTCTGTAGAACTGGAGAGGGATGTTGGAGGAGGAAAGGTTGAACAAGGAAAGCCCGAGTTTTGTGGTGGTTGATCTTAGGTTTGTCTCGGTTGCCCGAAGGCGCTGGCGAGGGTGGCCGGGAGCGCCGGGGTGCGGGAGCATCCCCGGGGTGCGGGAGCATCCCCGGGGTGCGGGAGCATCCCCGGGGTGCGGGAGCATCCCCGGGGTGCGGGAGCATCCCCGGGGTGCCGCAGCCCCGGGAAGGGGGAGAGGGTGCCGGGGGGCGGAGGGGGGCGATGCCCGGCTTGCTTTTCCTTTTACGTAAGTGAAACATTATATTCGTAGCAGGGATGGAGCCCTTTCGCCGCGCTCGGGCGGCGTGTGACGTTTTGACAGAGCTGCTGCTCTAACCTTTGCCTCCTCCTGCTTGCTGTGGGTGGTAAGTTGATGTCAGGCTCACAATTAGGACTCTCATGCAATTGACCTTGGCAGCGGGGTTTGTGCCGTTTAGCTCGCTCCCGAACACCGTGCGAGTGTTTAAGTGCGCTCCGGGCCGGGGGGCTCGGGGGGCGGCGGGCTGGGGGCCGGCCGGAGCGACCCCCGTGGTTGTGGGTCGCGGTGTGCGGGGCCGGCCGGCGGCTCCGGTGGGTGCCGGGGCGGCGGCGGCCCCGCCCGGGGCGGCGGTGGCCCGGCGGGCCGTGAGTGCCCTCCACCGACCGGCCCCGGCAGCTCCGGGGCCGCGAGTACCGGAGCGGGGCCGCGAGTACCGGCCCGGAGCGGGGCCGGCAGCCCGGAGCCCCCGGGGGCAGCGCCGCCGCTCCCCGCGCCTTTCAGCGCCGGCTCTGCCCTTCACAACCGCTCTGGTTTGTTCTGCCTTCCAGCTGGATGTGTCGCTTGAAGTTGTGGATAGGCCAAAGGGGGAATTAGTAAGTAGATAATTAATTAAAGGCTTGAGAGAGAGGCCGCAAGCCCGTGAAATGCTGGTGATTGTGGGTGATGCGCGATTCTGCCTCGTTCTTGGGTAGGAAAAGGCAGCTGATGGATTCAGCCTAGAAAGCATCGAGGCCTTTGGAGTAGCTCTGCAAGTTGTCAGTTGTGCATCTTAGTCAAGAAAGTGATTTTGTCGCAGTTGAATGGTGTTTGATAGTAGGAGAAGGGCGATTTGGGGCAGTTTGGAGTTTTTGGCAGTCCTCTCCTTTGGAGAATAAAAGCATCAGGGAAGCGCGACCCTGAGAGCGACAGCGAGCTCATGGCAGAGGGTTTGTGTCAGGAGTGGAGGGTGGGTAATCAATCCTTCACGAGTTAATTTAAACCGGGGAAGTGCATGGTTTTTGTTAACCTTAAAGTAAAAGTAGTTGATCAAATGTAAGCTGTGGGGAAAGTAACCTCACCAAAGGTATTAAAACTCTTCATTTAAAAAAGTGGGTGGGAAAGCTTGAGTTGTGTTTTACTCTAAGTCAAGTGAAATAAAGTTGAGAAAAAAAGTCATTAATGGCCTAGATGAGTGATAGGCCAGCAGCACCCTGCTTGAAATCACATCAAACCAGATTTACTTCACTCCTTTTACTGTTTTCCTAAAAAAAAAAAAATAAAAAAAAAATTCAAGCAGTGTGGATTTTATCAGCCTTCCTTGTCGATGACTGCCTTGTCCTACACAATAGTGGATTTTATCCATCCATTTGCCAGTGATTGAATCTAACCCCCCTGCTGGGTTTACTGCATTCTTCTAACTTATTGGATAACTAGATGCTGAGAGATAACATTCCTGAAATTCGGGGGTGGGGAGATAAAAAAAAACCAAAAAAACCACAGTAGAAGTCCTGTCCCTGGGAAGCCTTTGGAGAGGGTTAA